AGATTTTATTGACTAATAATACAATGATGTAGAACTAGATTTTATTGACTAATAATACAATGATGTAGAACTAGATTTTATTGACTAATAACACAGTGATGTGGAACCTGAAGATAGATGAATAAATTTAAGGATTGCGTCAAAAAACCAAAGATAAGAGAACTGTACTAGAAAATCTCAGAAAAACCAAATTTTTTACTATTTTTTGAACCAACACCTCAAGCATACGTACACACACACACATATATATATGTATATATCCATTTGGTTTGACATTGTCTGTAATAAGATAAGCAAAAGTAACTAACTTTCTATATATTTTTAATATGTTTTATTGTATTATTCGAGGTTTTCTTTTTTATATGCTTATATTTAATGGCCAGGTGGTTAGGGTGCTCGATTCGCAATCTGAGGGTCGCGGGTTCGAATCCCCGTCCCACCAACCATGCTCGCTCTTTTAGTCGTGGGAGCGTTATAATGTGACGGTCAATCTCACTAGTTCGTTGGTATTTCGGTGGGTGGTGATGACTAACCACTTACTCTGCTTAATTAGGAACGGCTAGCGCAGATAGACCTCGTGTAGCTTTGCGCGAAATTCAAAACAAACAAGCTTTTCCTAGGGAGGTCCTAAAATGTTTAATAATATTACCGTTTATAATAGTTAGTCTTAATTATGAGTGACGGGAAAACCACAAAAACCCTTTATGATCAGTTGGATAACCTCATTGTTAGCGATGTTTTCGGCCCTTATAGGTACGTAATGTAAAAATGTGATGTTTTCTTATTGCAGTTTGAATTTGATTATGTTAAGTAACCTACTTACAATACGACACTACGCAGACATTTATGAGAATGCGATCATCTGGTATACAATCATATCGGTCCACAAGGTGATAGTGCTGGTAAGAGACGAGACTCTTAATCACAATAAAAGGTTATCTCAAACCGTAATTCAGGTCTTTGATATTTAACATCTGAAATATATCAAACTTTAAAAAAAGTTAATATATATAATTAATTTAAATGTTTGATTCTGGTGTGACTATAATTTCTATCAAAATTTATTTCACCTATAAAAACACGCAGTTAAAAGTCAAAATACTACTTCTAATACAATTGATTCATGTATACACCTGGTAGCTACTCCAAAGAATAACAAATAATAACCATATGTTTTTTATCAAAGTTATCATGATATGATTAACATTTTATATATTTCTAAAGTGGCGTATGTAAAGTGTTCGAGGTCATCTTTGCCATTTATATAAAAGCTTTAGAAGTGAATGAATATTCTAAGGAGAGCAACACATTTAAAATGAAGGTCTTAATCAGCGTAGTGGTGTTTTTATGTCTGAATGTAACAGTACTGTGTCAAACTCCTCCACCTCGTCTCTGCAGTAAGTTTATTATTTCACAACGTACTTCATATCATCAATATGAAAATTAAATAATATCTTCATCTGTTATTTAAAGGAGTTTAGTTTAGTTTATGTTGCCCCCCCCCCCGTGGCCCAGTGGTATGTCTGCGCACTTTGATACTCGTGGTGGGCAGAGCACAGATAGCCCATTGAGTAGCGTTGTGCTTAACTTCAAACAAACATACTGTTGCCACAATGGTTATAAAGTAGGATTTATTTAACTGTAGTATTATTAAAGTTTAAATAATTAGTGGTGTCTTCTGCCATGGCTGAATAGAGATTTCTTTGGTTTTTCAGACAGTTATTGAATTTGGCATCATTTGTTATTTTTTTTAAATGTTATTAAAATTGTATCTAATATAATAAACGTATGAGAATTTGCTTTAATTAAATGTTTATTTTTCTCTATGAAATAAATGTTCTGAATTATCTTATGTAGCAAAAAATCTCAGCATCTAAACATAGTTTGTACCACTTTCTATTTAAGAGTTGAACGAAGAGCAGTTGAAGAAGTACGTCGAATGCGAACGTAGGGAGTTCCCTGTGTGGGTAAGTAGTTGATATAATTAAAAGGTAATGTCTGAACTAAACAAACATTCTTGAGAAATATTTAGTCTAAGATCTTTACCAAGGTCAGAACAAAGCACATCTAGCAAGGCTGGTCCTTTTCATTTCGTTCAATTATTTACCAGAAATTCTCTATTTGAATCGAATAGAAGTCTTAGCATGAGATAATTTCCTATCCATTTAAAATGGTCCTGTTTAGGCAGCCACTTCATGTATTTGAACGTCTCTGTTTTTCTAAGTATATTTTCTATATTAGTCTACTGTTTGGATGAGAACAGTGCATCTTTGAAAAACTTCTGTACGGGCAAGTACGTGAACTATTCAAAGTTTTCTATAACACTAAGTATTTTCAAAACGTAATTTTTTTTTACTGATTAAATTGTAATTCTAATGGAAAACTGTTCACTCTACGTTAGTACAAGGAATACTTGAATGCTCTATAAGAGACAAAATATTGCCAAAGACAATCTTTTGGTGAAGTACAATTCATACTTATAAATTGCTTTTCGTGTAGGTAAGTAAATGGGAGTTTTCTGTTTGAGTAAGTAAGCGCTCTAATAGAAAATCTTATATGCATATTAAGAAGATATTCCACGTACAAGTATTTTACTGTATAAACGCTAGAATGTAAGTTCCTTGTGTGGATAAGTAGATGTTCCAAGAGGAAAGCATCTATTTGTATACAAAAATATTCCAAATTCAAGTTCTCTGTTTGGATGAAAATATTCTTCGTGTGAAAATTCTCAGTTTATCTAAGTAGATGATCAATTTTGGAATAAGTAGATGATCAGTATGGAAGTTTTAGGGTTCAGAAAGTAGATGTTATAAAAGGAAGTCATCTAGATTAAGTAGATGCTCCAAACTGGGGTCTCTTGTTTAATTAATGAGATGTATCACGCATCTCTTTTTTTTTTCAAGTAAATAATTCACTTGAGAATCTGCTGCATAAAAAGACAGGTACATTAGATGAAAATTACCTGATGAGTAAATAAATCATTTATCCTGTCTGTACAATTAATATCTAGTAAACTAAAAAAAAGTTAATCACTATTATTATTACAAGACATATATATATATTCGAGTCTTGCAGTGTGACGTAACTTCTATACAAGTACTCTCAGAACATCGTTATTCTATAAACAACATTTCTGAAGTGTTTTGATTTTAATTTATACAAAGGAAGATTAAATCTATGCTAAAACAATTACTAAAAAACTGAGATGCTTAGTATTGTCATATCTAATTCGTGCATTTACTTTTTGGAATCTGTAACAATTACCCGAAATATTGTATTATGTTTTTCAATAGATTTTTTAAATAAAACAGAGTTGTGCAAAATGATATATCGATTCTTTTAGTTTTGAATTTATAGGGTTTTAAGGATTTAAGAAAATGAAGCACGAAATAAACGTTGTAGGTGCTAGGATGATTGTTTGTTTTGTTGTTAAGCACAAAGCTGCACAAGGGTCACTGGTATCTAAACCCGGTTTTTAACGTAATAAGCCTTTAAACTTATCGCTGAGCCATTAGAAAGCAACAAGGATGAACTCAAATTGTTGTTATTCATTCAAGGGCTCCTTAACCATAATGATAATTGTATAAAAAAATTGCTATCATTACAGGTGATACATATTATGTTGAAAAGACCAAAACAATAACGTATATACAGAGATCTCAATTAAAAAGCATACTTATTGCATGTACACGAAAAATGAAGAGTGCCACTACCACCTAGATTTTCCAATCCATTAAATATTTTTAGCAATGTTGGAAAGACTTGTTTTCGCCGTTTTGAAAGACACAAAGTTGGTGTTTATAGAGCAAGGACAAGAAGTAAGTGCAAACTACAATATAAATCAATGTGAAAGAGTTAAGTGTAGACAACAATATTGACAACAATACTACTGATAAGTTTCAGTTTCATTTTTCAAAAATCGCATACAGTAGAGCAAAAGTCAATTCGTTCATTAGACTGCAATGTTTTGTAAATCATTATTTCTGTTTAACGTAAATATTTTAGTTAATTTGTTTCTCTGTAATTTAGCACAAAGCTACACAATGGGATATTTGTACTATGCCCACTACGAGTATCGAAACCCAGTTTTTAACGTTAGAAGTTCGCAGACTTACAGCTGAGCCACTGAGGACAAATACTTTAGTTGAATCAATATCATAATTCTGGATTTGAATATTTCATTAAAATATTATGTTCCAGGTTTTAGAAGTAATTGACAAGTGCATAAATGAAATTATGCCTGGTGCTACTAACCTCGAGGTGGTAAGGAAAGCGTGTGAAGATGGAGAAACTGCAAGAATGGTAAATTGCTCTATTTAGTTAAACATTAAAATTCCAGTTAATCATCGTGACCTGAAATTCGTTTTTTGTCAAAACGATCAATGATCTTAATTTCAAGTCACATTCATTATAAAATAAGTTGTTGTTTTTTATTTATATTCACATGACTCTTAGATGTAGCGTAGACATATCATGTGTATTTTTCCTTTTCTATTCCCTCGAAAATATACTGAAATTAAGCCGTTAATATGGGATATTTGTGATTCGGTTAACACGTTTGTAAAACAAGTTTTAAAATTATCTTTTTTGTATTAATATAACGGATTGAATCGTTCTATAGCATAAATAGTTAAACAGTCATTCAATTTGACATCTTAAACTATAATAACAGGTTTCCAAAATACTAGTAAGAATACGAAAATTACTTGATGGTTATTTAATTCAGGAAACTTTAGCGGAATAAAGTTTATAATAGATTGTTATATGTCCAACTTCTTTATATAAGAACAAATAACTGGAGTATGATATCCTTAAAAGTCACTAAAAGTTATTACTTCATCACATATCTTAACTTTACAAAAATATCTCGTTATATAGTATATACTTTCTGGTATATTTCAAACCTGATATATACATTTAATGTTATTAGCTCAAATTACAATCTTGGATTTATCATCAAAGAGTAAAATGCTTTGTTTCATCAGTTGAATGCCCTCGCTGTTAACTACATTTTTAGCCGTAAACCCAATAACATTCCAGAATGTTCAGCCAGCTTAAGAGATTTGGGTTAGTCCTAAATTCATATTTTAAGGTAACAGTGCAAATCAGTCTTTGTCAACTTTCACTCAGAAGTTTTTATGACAAAAGTATAATATGAAAAAGTGTAAATAATAAGACTAAGTAATACTAACTAATACTGTTAATAAAAGTAACACTAAACAAAAAACAGAGTATACTTCGAATATTCTTTGAGAAGAAGGGGATGTTTAAATTTTTTATATAAGGGACATCTTTCAATTTTTTATATAAGGGGCATGTTTCAATTTTTTACATAAGGGGCATGTTACAAAGTTTTATATAAGGAACATGTTTCAACTTTTATATATAAAGGATATGTTTCAATTTTTTATATAAGGGGCATGTTTCAGTTTTTTACATAAGGGGCATGTTACAAAGTTTTATATAAGGAACATGTTTCAACTTTTATATATAAAGGATATGTTTCAATTTTTTATGTAAGGAGCATGTTTCAGTTTTTTGTGTAAGGAGCATGTTTCAATTTTAAGAACGTTTTTAAACACTTCTGAACTTGTACTTTTATCTTTTCATTGTAGTATTACTTAATATTCTTCTTGATTAGTTATGCTAAAGTAACGACATATTTTAGGCCTTTTAAGATAGAAGTATCAAAAATGTTTAGAACCTCACTTGAAACGGCTACATATATGAAATTATCTTTAAAAGTTTTAAAATGCTGAGAAAATACCTTTATTCACTACACCACGGTATAGTTTTTTTCTCTTTTTTTTACCAGTTGTTCATGTGCGTCAGTCCATCCATTGTAAGTACATATTTTTTCATCTGTTCAGTGACTTATATTTGGTAGGATAAATTAATGCAAATTATTTATTCAAGTAATGAATGAATTAGGCTTAAAGGACTACAAAAAGCTTCATATTGTTTCAAATTCAAAACTGTCCCTACTGTAAAGAACATTTTAATAGGCTTCTTTTAGACAGCCAAAGATACTAGTATTTTTTATATTTGATCTAATTTCGATTCCAAAACAATTGGCGTCTTTAAGAAAAAAGCATTTTATGTGACCTAACACACACACACACCTTGCTTTATTTCTTTTAAAATATGTCATGTTTCAAATATTTCATTGTACATAAATTGTTGAGTTATTTTTCATAGTAATACTAATGATATACTCTTTATTAAACCCATCATTTGTTGAATTAAACATTTTCCAGAAGGAAATAGAAGATGAACTTAACCAGCTTGTTGAAAAGTGTGCGCGCGAGGCGGAAGGTTAAAATACTTTATGAAACCTGAGGTAAAATAATTCAACGTATATTGTAAAAAACAGTACTAAAATTGAGAGAAAAATAGATAAGCAAATGAATAGACTGATAGAAAATTTGATCAATACTGTCAAGCTATGAAATAATTACTTTAATTGAAATGAATAGTAGTGGAACACTGTTATACAGAGGTATAATTACGTCATTATAAATATAATTTATTTATTTATTTTGTATTAGATGTTTTGTTTTGTGTAGAGTGCCCCTGACAGAAAATTACTTTCACCAGGTAAATGGTAATGAAAGAGTTCAACTTAACAAACACGATGTTTAAATATCTATATCCCCAGGTAATTTGAAACATTCCGATTTGTTGTAAAGGATAATAAACATATTTTCACAATCTGATCTAATACTAATATTCTCTTTCACAGCTTCTATATGCACGAGACCAAGCCACGTGCGAGTTTCTTGATTAAAACAAACATTTTGCTTTTTATGATCTTTAGTTATTGGTAGTTGTTTCGGATATATATATATAATTAGCTAACATTTTAAGATTTACGTTGTCGTAAATATTTCATGATAAAATACATTTTGGGGGTTTTAATTTAGCCTCCTACAAAACTTTTATTATTTGTTCTTAATATCCTTATGTAAGGTTTGTGTCTCAGTATGATTACTTAATTCAGTATAGTCATACTTTTCACAATAAAAAATAAAAGATCAGAAAAACCAGTTTGAGGTGTGGTATACTTGTCTTTAATCATCTCTGTGCAATTTACGTCATTCATTTTTACATCAAGTAAATAAAAACTGGTTTGTATTATAAATGACTATTTCGGCTTGTCAGTTTCTTACTGTTAAATATTTTGACTTCCAGCAATTGAAAAACAAATTTGTTATGTTTAATAAGATATCTTTATTTCACATTTGTTTAATGCGATTTTAAAACAGTAAATAGAAATCGCTTATCTATCGAAAAATGGAATTTAATTTATTTTAAATAAAAATTAATTGACAATTGTGACACACAACCAATAAACATGAATAATTTGTGATTTATTTACCACCTTGGTTATCTGATTTGAGGTTAACTGATATGGCTATTTTCAACATGAATGATACTTTAAACGAAACATGGACTAAACGGCCAGATGAGAGGTTCAGGCATAGCTTTCTCTAATTTAAAACGACTAACCATAGGGAGGATAACAAACAACTCGGTAGCACCTGTCACCTACTTTTAAATGGACAGTGGGGATGATTGTCATAATCATAAAGTTTCCACAACTGATGAAAGTACGTACCGTAAAGTTTCCAATCAGCAACCTAGTAACCTGTCACCTACCGTCAAATGGACAGTGGGGATGATTGTTATAATCATAAAGTTTCCACAACTGATGAAAGTACGTACCGTAAAGTTTCCAATCAGCAACCTATCACGTTAGTTACTAGGTCATGTCTGGCCAAAATTTAGGATAATCATTTGTTATAAACTGAAAATCAATAAAATTTACACAAAAAAAGTGTATTTCATTCATTCCTTTCGTTTATGAACAAAATAATAACAAACAGAATATGGCATAATATTTTCAAGAATAATTATGATGTTTCAGGGTTAACTCAGCGAATACAATTGTAAAAGTGAAAGAATTTAGGACTAATACATTTATATTGCAGAGTGTGTAGAAATTAAGAAGCCAATGAGAAGCGTTCATGTTCTTGGGCAAGACCAGTTTTTGAAAACATATGGAGAGGTACCGGGATGATTATTGATTCTAGGTTTAGCATATTAAGATTTCTGTGATTGTTTTTTTTTTACTGCGGGGTTATTTTCATGATCTATTTTGACAGTTTGTTTTATAAGAAATTTCCACGGCTATTAGAATTTTCAAAAACAAGGAATTGTCTGTTTCATCTATATAATGTTACATGTAGACGGAGTGTATTCTATTTTACAAACTACCCTATTGTTATATTTGTTCCCGGTCTTTTATGGACTGTCTAATATTTAAAGCTAAGTTCCGTGCTAACATCTAGTTCATATATTTTATACAATGAGCTTCACATGCGTTTTAACTTATTGTTTGTTTGTTTTGAATTTCGCGCAAAGCTACACGAGGGCTATCTGCGCTAGCCGTCCCTAATTTAGCAGTGTAAGACTAGAGGGAAGGCAGCTAGTCATCACCACCCACCGCCAACTCTTGGGCTACTCTTTTACCAACGAATAGTGGTATTGACCGTCACATTATAACGCCCCCACGACTGAAAGGGCGAGCATGTTTGGTGTGACGGGGATTCGAACCCGCGACCCTCAGATTGCGAGTCGAGCACCTTAGCCACCTGGCCATGCCGGGCATTTAACTTATTAGAAAGTTCTTGAAAGAAATGCACGGTGCAACATACAGTGTTACTAAAGTCTATGTTCGGTTTTTTGTTCTTTTCAGAACTGTTTATAATGGGCATGGCCAGGTAGTTAGGACGCTTGACTTCGAATCCCCGTCCCACCAAACATGCTCGCCCTTTCAGCCGTGGGAGCGTTATAATGTTACAGTTAATCCCACTATTCGTTGGTAAAAGAGTAGCCCAAGAGTTGGCGATGGGTGGTGATGACTAGCTGCCTTCTTTTAGTCTTACATTGCTAAATTGGGCTAGCGTAGATAGTACTAGTGTAGTTTTGCAC